TGCCCCTCCACCCGGTGGGGCTTAATGGGTGACCACAGGCCACAACCCCCACCCCAGTGCTGGGCCAGGGGACCTGAGGCTGTGCCCCCCCCCGGCGGGGCTTGACAGGGGTGGGGCTGGCCAGTTCTGGATCTCGCGCAATTTTGAGGTGCACGTGGGTGGGCAGGGACTTGTTTCTGGGTTCCATGGTGTGCCCCAGACTCTGACAGGAGAAAGATTTTCATATACATTTTACTAATTTTCTTTCATCTCTGACATTTCTATTATAGAGAAAGGGCAAATAGCAATATTAAAATATTTTCTCTAATTAATTCCCTTTTAATATGCACGAATTTCATGCACCGGGCAACCAGTATGCATATAAGTTCCCCAGATCTGTAATACTTTCAACAATAAAGATAAATTTTAAAAAATACACTCAGACATATCTAATGAACACCCACAATCCAGAGTACTACATCTAGTAGTATTTAATTAACACATGCTAGATTTTACAAAGTAATTGAATGCATCAGATCTAATATATGAGAGTTAACTAACTTTTAAATAGCCAGTAGAAAGCTTTAAAACAGTCCAAAATCAAACCAACAAAAAAAATTGCCCACGAATGTTGTTGATCATTGCACAGAGTCACGCATAAATGAAGTGAACTGATTTAATGATTTACCACTGCATTCTAAATATGCTCTAGCAGTTGACACATTTAAGCTTTATTAACTGCTTTAAAAAATTATGAACTTTGTGTGGGATGCTAGAGTGACCTTCTCCAAGGAATTTGCTAGATATATAAATAGGTAATTCTCAAAGAAGCAACTGAAAGTTTATAAATGTTTGAAAGTGGGTCTAGTCTGAACTTGCAAGATAAAGAATGAGTCTATTTCTGAAAATGTAATTTAATGTAAGGTTTTATAATCTTGAGATACATTACATAGTTCCTGGATAATTCATATAATTCTATTAATAATTTCAAGAGGCTAAGCAACTTTTCATCTTTACAGTTCTCAAGTAAAATATGTTATTTTTTTAATATATTTCTTTTTTGATTTCAGAGAGGAAGGGAGAAGGAGAGAGAGATAGAAACATCAATGGTGAGAGAGAATCACCAATTGGCTGCCTCCTGCATGCCCCCCATTGGGGACAAAGCCCGCAACCCAGGCATGTGCCCTTGGCCAGAATCGAACCCGGGACCCTTCAGTCCGCAGGCTGACGCTCTATCCACTGAGCCAAGCCGGCCAGGGCAATGTTATTGCAACAAGTCTTTTCTCCTTACAAAGCCAAATATACATATGCTAGAATTCCACAATTAAAAATCCCCAAGGACCAACTTTGCAATGGTCTATTCTAAATTGCCAGGCATGGTTTTGCATTCTTTAATTTTAAAGTAGATAAAATTTCACATTTGCATGCATTAACACATTACTCAGGGGTTGACTTTCTGATTTTTGTGATCAGGCATAGGATTTTGTAAGACCAAAATTAAATATGCAAATTACAAGAGGTTAGGTGGGTAATATTTTGAAAACACACATAGAGTGCTGTAATAATTGGAATTTCTGGCTTTGATGTTGAGCTCTACATAACATTGTTTGTCTTTTACTGAAGTAGATAAGCTTCAGTGAAATGATGGATTATTATTAGACCCAGTGAGTTATAAATATTTTAATTTAATTTCATAATATAGTCCTAAAATGCAAATATTAGTTTGTTCTACACCCCTTGTAATTATATCATATCTTTAATAAACTGTTTTTTAAAAGTTACTATAATAAAAGTAAATGCTGGGGAAATAAATATGAAATGGGAAATTTGAAATAGGAAGTGAAGATGTTCAATCCAATTTCAAGATTTGAGAAACTGGTCAGTGTTTAATAGTCTCACCCCCCAGTATTGTGGCTATTGGCATATGAAATAAATTTGACAACAAAGTGGACAGTCTGTAAAAAATGGATAAGTTCCTAGAAACATACAGTCTTTTATGACTGAGTCCAGAAGAAACAACAAATCTGAATAGACACATACCTACTAACTAAATAGAATCAGTAATAAAAAAATTATTTAATTTAAAAACGAGAGCAATAAAAAAAAACTTCCAACAAAAAAAGATTTGTATCCAATGGTTTCACAGGTGAATTTTACCAAACATTCAAAGGAGAATTAACACCTATCATTCTAAAACTATTCAAAAAAATTAGAGGGATGAAGGCTTCTAAACGCCTTTACAAGGACAGCTTTACTGACTTCAAAACCAGACAAAGACATTACAAAAAAGAAAATTATAAATCAATATTCCTGCTTAACATAGATGTAAGAATATTCAACAAAATATTAGCAAATCTAACTTAGCAATACATTACAAAGATCAAACACCATGACCAGGTGAGATTTAGTCCTGGGATACAAGATTGGTTCAATCCACAAATCAATGTGATAAACTACATAAACAAAATGAAGAATAAAAATCGTAAGATCATCACAATAATGCAGGAAAACACTTAAAATACAGTATATATTTATGATAAAAATGCTCAGCAAAGTGGGAATAGAAGAAACATACCTTAACATAATTAAGGCCATATATGACAAATGCATAGCTAGTGTCATAGTCAAAAGGGAAAACTAAGTGTTTTACTTTAAAATCAGGAACAAGCCGAAACCGGTTTGGCTCAGTGGATAGAGCGTCGGCCTGCGGACTGAAAGGTCCCAGGTTCGATTCCGGTCAAGGGCATGTACCTGGGTTGCGGGCACATCCCCAGTGGGAGATGTGCAGGAGGCAGCTGATCGATGTTTCTCTCTCATCGATGTTTCTAACTCTCTATCTCTCTCCCTTCCTCTCTGTAAAAAATCAATAAAATATATATTAAAAAAAAAAAGAAAAAAAAAAAAGAAAAAAAAAAATAAAATCAGGAACAAGACAGGGTTGTCCACTTTCACTGCTTTTATTCAGCATAATATTGTAAGTCCTAACCATAATAATCAGGCAAGAAAAAAAGGCATTTAAATTGTAATGTCAGAATAAACTGTCATCATTTGCAGATGACATGATACTGTATGTAGATAATCCTAAAAATTCCACCTAAAAACTACTAGGACTAATAAGTAAATTCAATAAAAAAGGACATAAAATTAATATTCTGAACTCAGCTTCATTTTTGTACACCAATAACAAACTATCAGAAAGAGAAATTAAGGAAGCAATACCATTTACAATTGCATCAAAAAATACCTAGGAACAAATTTAACCAAGGAGCCCTGACCGGTTTGGCTCAGTGGATGGAGCGTCGGCCTGCGGACTGAGGGGTCCCAGGTTCGATTCCGGTCGGGGGCATGTGCCTTGGTTGCGGGCACATCCCCAGTGGGGGGTGTGCAGGAGGCAGCTGATTGATGTTTCTCTCTCATCCATGTTTCTAGCTCTCTATCCCTCTCCCTTCCTCTCTGTAAAAAAAAAAATCAATAAAATATATTTTAAAAAAAAAATTTAACCAAGGAGGTAAAAGACCTGAATTTAGAAAATTATAACACATTGAAGAAAGAAATTGAATATATAAATGAATGTAAGCATATACTCTGCTCATGAATAGGAATAATTACAGCAGCATTAAAATGTTTATAATACCCAAAGCAATCTACAGATTCAATATAATTTGTATTAAAATACCAATGTCATTTTTCACAAAACTGAAACAAATAATCCTAATATTTATATGGCACTACAAAAGACCCTGAGTAGCTAAAGCAGTGTTAAAAAACTTGGAGGTATCATGCTACTTAATATCAAACTATATTACAAGGCTATAGTAATAAAAACAGTATGGTACTGACATGAAAACAGACACTTAGATCAATGGAACAGAATAGAAAGCCCAGAAATTAACCCATGCCTTTATATTCAATTAATATTTGACAAAGGAGGCAAGAATATACAATGACAAAAAGACAGTCTCTTCTATAAGTGATGTTGGGAAAGCTGGATGGATATATGGAAACAACAACAACAACAACAAAACTAGATCACCCTCTTATACCATACACAAGAAAAATTCAAAATGGATTAAAGACTGAAATATTAGACTCAAAACCATAATGACTTGAGATGAAAACATAGGCAGTAAAATCTCAGATATTTCTCATAGCAACATTTTTTTCTGATATATCCTCTAGGACAAGGGAAACAAAAGAAAAAATAAACAAATGGAACTACATTAAACTAAAAGTTTTGGCACAGCAAAGGAAACCATCAAGAAAATGGAAAAACAACCTATCACATGGTGGAAGATATTTGCCAATTATACATCCAATAAGGGATTAATATTCAAAATTTATGAAGAACTCATACAACTTATCATTTAAAAAATACAATCAATCTAATTAAAAAATGAGCAAAGGACCTGAATAGATATTTCTCCAGACAGATCACACAGAATGCAAAAAGACATATGATGATGTATGCAGGGGAAATAAATCCAGCTGTGTTTAAATGGAGAGATCTTTCACGCTATAATGCAATTGAGGAGAAGTCATTTATTGCTCAGAAAAAAATAGTGGCATTGAGAATTACATTTCACTTTGCTGGGATCACCATTCACTACTATTGTAGTTAGTCTGTGAATCAGAACAACTGAAAATGAGATACATCAATCAGCCCCCAATACCTGCTCAACATGCAGCTCACAAAATATTTTATTTACTTGAAACTGATGGACAGTTTAAGCAAATTGGGAAAAATGCAAATATTTTATCACTTTATGCAGAGTCACATCCCTGGGTGAATTTTGTGAATCATATACTCATGACTCTTTTTTGTTGTTGTTGTTCAAAAAATTAAATGTTATTGATATATAACTCACAAAAAGTAAATGAATTGTGTTTAAATGTGTGTGTATGTGTGTGTGTGTGTGTGTGTGTGTAGAGAAAAATGAAATGTGTACATGGTATAACTCCATTCTGCCTCATGCTATAAAATATATCATTTCACTAAAATAGTTATATTTACCTATTTCAAGGTAGTGGACAACACTTCGTGTATGTCAACTCATCTGGTCCCAAAGAAGGATACACTGCAAGAATCACTACTTCCCAATACTTCCCAGCAAGCCTCGGAATGTGTACTGTTCGGTTCTGGTTCTACATGATCGATCCAAGGAGCATGGGAGTACTAAAGGTACAAAAGGAAGACAGAGACTTGTGTTTCACTAAAGTCTTTGTAGAATGTCTTTAAACATATTTCCTTTTTTATAATCTTACTAGAGGCCTGATGCACGAATTCATGCACCAGTGGGGTCCCTCTGTCTGGCCTATGGTATCGGGCCAAAACCAGCTCCCCGTCATCCCCTGAAGGGTCCCAGATTGTGAGAGGGCACAGGACAGGCCGAGGGACCCCACTGGTGCATTATCAGGGCCAGGGAGGGACGTGGGAGGTTGGCCAGCTGGGGAGGGGATGTGGGAGGGCTCCAGGGTGTGTCCAGCCCATCTCACCCAGTCCCTGATCAGCCAGATCCCAGCAGCAAGCTAACCTACTGGTGTGAGCATCTGCCCCCTGGTGGTCAGTGCACATCATAGCAAGCATTTGAGTAGCCTTAGCATATCATTAGCATATTATGCTTTGATTGGTTGAATGGCCGACCGGATGACTGGACACTGAGCATATTAGGCTTTTATTATATAGGTTAAACTTTTTCTTTCTTATTATCTCTAATTTGGGCATATCAGTGTCATGTTTTACTACATTTTGGGGGCAGAGGTTTCTCAACAGATGTGTTGCATTAGTAAGAACTGTCTGCAGTTATGACATGGGGAAGTTTGGTGGGCAGATCACTCCTTATCCGGGGTCTGAGAACTTAACATTTGTGCATGTGTTTTCTAAAGTAACTAAGACCAAAAGTCTAACTAATATTATCTGGAAATGTGGTGAGGAAGAACCTCTTATTTTTTAATATTAAAAAGAGTTTTTAAAGGAATAAAGTGAATAACAATGTGCATTGGTGGTATAGGTGTGGATAAATAAATATTCTTATTTGTTGCTATCAATATGAAATTATGAAGAGTATTTTGGCAATTGAAAGCTTGATATTTTTTATATTAATTATCAAAACATTCCACATCTAGAAATATAAGAAAATAAAGATAGACATGCATGATGTTTTATTTATGAAGTTTTATCTTACTATTGTTTATAATAGTAACTATTTAAAACCAACTGAATGGCAAGTGATAGGAATTGGTAAAATACAGTACATTCACTTTTATTATATAATATATAAAACTAATTATGTGAATGAATAATTAGTGATAAAGAAAAGTGTTTATATTTCATTAATAACTAAAGCAGATGTTAATAAAGATATATTCCATAATGCCATTTAAAACATATATCTAATTTTGAGTGTATCAGTGTGTATAAATATATATATATATTTTAATCTATATAAATATCTACATTATTAAAATACATATATGCAAGCATACACAAAAATGGTTAATTATCTCTAGATGGTGTAGAAAAATATTCTTTCATTATTTTTACTCATTCATTTTATAATTTTCTGCATTAAATATGTAATACCTTTCTAATTAAAAAAATGTATATCTAAAAGGTGTTTAACATTGAAAAGGTTGAGAGGCACTGCTCTAGGATGTGCCATAACAGATGACTGCTTGAGTTCGTAAAGAGCAAATGTGGTCCTGGAGCATATGGCAGAGTATTATTGTGCTAATCTGAAACTACTTACAGTGATTACATAAATCCTTTAGAAAGGGTGTGGCAAGGAAACTACCTAAGGTGAGCTTTCTCGTAGAGGATTTTTGAGGCAATGAAAATAGCACAGCCTTCCTAATAGAGATTTCCAATTGTAGACTGCAGTAGTGTGCTTTCTTGCCAGCACAACTTTTATGAAATTATATGAAGTAATGCATAATCTCTGCCCTTCTGTGCTCTGTTCTGTATCCCAGAGAACTACATTTCCCAAGCTCCTTTGCTCTATGCTACCTGGATAAGTTTGACCAATGAAAGGCACTGGCCAAAGACATACAGGCAGGAAGAGGAGACAAGCTTTCCCCTTCTCTCTTTTTTGGCTGACTTTCTAAAGGCATCTCATCTGTAACTCAGTTTCATCCAGAGAGGCACTGGTTCCTTAGTTCTAACTCCCACCAAGTAAGCCAGCCAAATTCTAGCTTCTTCCAGCCACTCAATTTTGGTGACTACTTCCCTTTAATGTTCTAGTTTTAGGGATGGAAACATCATCCTGTGCATACTAATCTATTGTCTCATAAATTACTTGGTGGTTTCTCATCTCTTCAATAAATTTTGTAACCAACTCCCCATATTAAATTTCCTCTATTTTTGAAATATGTTAGGGTAGTTTATATTTTATAGCTTGTCCCTGTCTGAAATTAGTGCCCACCCCAAAGAAAACACAAATCTTTTAAAAATATTAATTTGTAAAATAATGAAAAATTTTGAGTCAGCACCAGTCAGTTTAAATTTGTCCTGCTTACGTTAACTTATTAAAAACGACCCTCTAGTAGGGAAGACAGAAAACAAAAACACCCAAATATGAAAACTTCAATTTGTGATACAATATCCTGAAGCAAATAAAACAGATTTTGGTGATGAATAATTACTTAGGATCTTCTGAGAGTTTTGTTTTATACTGAATGGTAAGGAATCCTCTCTGAGAAAAATAATGTTTGAATTTATATTCAAAAAACAAGAAGGAGCGAGCCTTGTGAATATCTGGAGCCAGAATGTTCTAGGCAAAGGGAGCAAGTCAATGAAAAAGTGCAAAGGTGGAGGGAATGTGAGGGCCAGTATAGCTGGCACAAAATAGAGAGAGAGAGAGAGAGAGAGAGAGAGATCAACAGGCAGGGGCCAGCTTCTGTAGGGCCTTGTGACTGAGATTAGATTTTATTTAAGAACCATGCAACGTCATTGGGGAGTGTCTTGATCAGCTTGGACTGCTATAACAAATAACCATGGACTAGGTAGCTTAAACAAGAAAAATTTACATCTCACAGTCCTGGGAGCTGAAAAATCCAAGGTCAAGGTACCCTCCAATTCAGTTTCTGTTGTGCATCCTCTCCTTATTTGCAGATGGCTGCCTTCTCTCCGTGTGCTCACCTGGCAGAGAGATCATCTCTCTTGGGTCTCTTTTTATAACAACACGAATCCCATTCATAGGGTCTTCACCCTCATGACCTAATTACCTGTCAAAGGCCCCACCCAAAACTAACGCATTGGGGATTAGGGCTTCACCATATGAAGTTGGTGAGAAAGATACAAACATCCAATCTGTAGCAGAGAGGGTAAAATTGTGGAATAATATAACCTTATTTGAAAATTTAAAAGACTGTCCCACTACTATAGGGAAAAGGAATGAGTGCTGGTGGGCAGGAGGAGGACAGAAGTGGAAGTGAAGCAAGGAAACAAGTTAGATATTTCTAGAAGTTTGGGCAGAGAAGTTAGGACTTGGTCTAAAGTGGAGTATAAGGATAAACTAAAAAGCAATTTCTACATAATGAGCAAGACTTAGATTTTCACTGGTATATTAAGATTATTTTCTAAATTACACATGTTTTAATGTTATTAGTATATTAATGGAGGGCATCATATAAAGCTAATAGTCAAAGAAGACTTGTACAGTTGAGGAGATCAAAGTGAAATTCAATTATGAGCTCTCTATAACTTTTTGGGATAAAAAGCCAAACCATTCACATTTATCCCAGCCTGCAAAGTAGAGTGTTGCATAGAGAAGGCAACTGTTTTATAAGAACTGGGAAGCCTGATGGTAAATGAATAATATTCAGAATAATAAAATGTTCATACAGTATCTATATCCTTTTTTTCAAAGGCTCAGGAAATTATAGAACAATGTTAATACATACTTTATTTTCTAGGTCAGTTCTTTTCAAATTAAACACACTCCTTAAAATGGTGCTAGTTACTTTTGATCCACATTGCCAAAATAGCCTCAGTGAACCAAATTAATTTCCCATGAGATTATTTAGTTCCAGTATTTCAGTTTGTTTTGATATTTAATGCTAATTCATGTGAGTTACTTAATGTCTATGAAAAGAGGTAAAGTTTGACACTGGACAAAAACATTCCTGTAAAAATGACTAATATCCTTTAATATCCAAACTCATTTTTTAAAGATACACAAAGGAAGGCAGGTAACTTTAATAATTAATATTTCTATAACTGCTTTGGTAATTTGTAGAAATTTCTAATTGCTCATGAAGAAAAAAACATCACCGACTACTTAAAACTGTATTTAGTGATAAAAGATGAATTCATATATCTATATGGGTTTCTACTAGCCTATTTTTCATATTTCAGAAGAGTTAACCTGCTGTGTTGAAATAGTGTTAGGGGTTTTTAGACCTAAATGATTTCTGCTAAAACCTATGGAATTAAGCATCTAATTGTTCCATTCAGGAAGTCATTATTGTTGTGGTCGGTGTTTGTGAGATTTCCTTTGCTTTGCTGTGATGTTTAGGAAGATAGTAAGAGCAGAGAAAAAACAGCAGAGAGTAGCATCAGCTGGTTACTATATGCTATGCACTGTCTAAAGTGTTTCACATGTACTGATTGGTCTAATCCTCACATCATCCAGTGAGACAAGCACTAACATTGTCTGCTCCTTTTTTTTTTTTTTAGTCTCACCCAAGGATATTTTCCCCACTGATTTCTAGAGAGAGTAGAAGGGAGGGTGGAGGTAGGGAAGCAGAGAGGGAGAGAGAGAGAGGGAAGCAGAGAGGGAGAGAGAGAGAGAGAGAGAGAGAGAGAGAGAGAGAGAGAGAGAGAGAGAGAGAAACATTGACTGGAGAGAGACACATCAATGTGTTGCCCCCTGAAAGCACCCCCACCAGGGCTCAGGAACCTACAAAGGAGGTATGTGCCCTTGACCTCGAATCAAACCTACAGACTGACACTAACCACTTAGCCAAACAAGCCAGGGCTAACATTATCCACATTTTAACACAGAGAGAGATAATGAGAAGAGGAAGCTTCAGGAGCTTGTCCGAAGTCCTAGAGCTAGGAGGTGGCAGGCCTTCGCGACCCCAGAGCCACTGGCTCTAGTCTGTGTTTACTGTCTCTCAGAACTAGACGGCTATTTTAATGGCACATTTTAGTTTTCTTTATTTTTATTATTCAAAATCATC